TTCTCAATTCTCAAACGCACAATTAATTCGTCCATAGAAATTTCTTTGTGCTTGTGTTTGAGGTAGTTCTTGAATTCCTTCCAACCTTTTGGATGTGATTCTAGTAACCGGTGAGTATGTGTCAAAGTAATCTAGACCTTCTTTCTGTCTAAAACCTTTGACTACAAGTCTTGCCTTGTATTTATCTATTGATTCACCCGCTTTCAATTTTCTTTTGAAAATCCACTTGTACCCAAGAGGTTTACAACCTGGTGGCAAGTCCACTAATTCCCAATTGTGATTTTGCAAGATGGATTCAATTTTTCGGGCCGTCAATAAGCACAGATAAAATTAGAAATGGTTGTTTCATGCACATCCATGGCGGCAAGTTGTATGGAATGAGTACAACAGGCCAAGTGCTATGAACTATGTTCATCGTCCTGAATGGGTTAAAACCATCAGATGCTAAGCCAAGCCTTACACTTCGGCAATCATTACTAAAGTCAATATTCCGACGATCAAAATCTTTCCATGCAAGGGAGTCTGCAGGATGCCTAAAGACACCGTCATTAGTTCGTTCCTCTGCATGCCATCTCATTAACTTAGCCGTCTTGGATGACATAAACAGCCTCTGCAACCTTGGCTTTAAAGGAAAATACCTCATTTGTTTTGCAGCTATTTGTTTGCCACCATTGTGAGGACCATTTGAACCACCATCACCATTTGATTTCCATCTTGAATTGTTGCATATGACACATTTATCAAGATTTACGTCCTCATTTCGAAACAACATGCAACTGTTGGGACATGCATCTCATGTCTCATATGTGAAGCCCAAATCTGTTGTGACCTTTTGAGCTCTATAATATGAGTCCGGGAGTTTCACACCCAACGGGAACGCCTCATTCAATAACTCAAGCAACATGTCAACAGACTTGTCTGTCCACTGATTAAGCACTTTCAAATGTAGAAGCTGAACAATGAATGACAAAGAAGTGAACTTCTGACAACCGGGATACAATTCACTTTGTGCATCTTGAAGAAGTTTGAAATAGTTTGCAGTCTCTGCATTTGGACCGAGCTGGGGTTCAGATACATGGGGATCAGTGCTCTGTGCTTCATTACCGTCAACACTTGTACCGACATGTGGATTTCTTACAGCCCCTTGTATCATTCCAACCATATCGTCGCCAATGTCTAAATTAGCCAATGTTTCATTCCCTCGATTAGCATGCAGAGATACGTAAGATTCCCCATGATTAATCCAATGTTTGTACTTTTTAAAAAAACCATTCAAAATCAGATGCTTCCGTACACCCTCTCGCACAAGATGGTATCGATTCTCACATTTTCTACACGGACAACTAATCATCAAACCTTCAACCCTATTGGTGTAGGCAAACACAAGGAATTGATCAATCCCATTAATGTATTCCCTCGACATCCTATTTGGCAAATCAATCCAACTCTTATCCATCATCTGTACTTCCCTTATATGTGTTTCCCACTATTAATTTGCTTCAGGCAAACTTACTGGGAGATATACATCTCACATACAAAACAAATATGCCCTAGAAAAAAATATAATTACAACAAATGTAAGAGTCATAATGAGATGTAAGGGTAAAAATATAATTACAAGACATAATATCACATATTAATTATCGTAAGAGAAGAGGGGATTGGTGGGCTTCAAATCCCGATTAGTGAGGAAACAACCAAGGGCATGCGCTTTTGGGCCAAATGTTATCCTCATTGGGGGCTTGTTGCCAGAGTTATTACAGGTATCCCCCAATACTTGGTTCAAAAAAATCCAAGCATCATTTTAGTAAGATGAAGGATCTTAACTTCTCCCCTTTGATCTTTACCAAACATAAAAAGAGTATATATATATAGGGGGAGGGAAGGGGATAAAAGATTATATTCCTCCTACTAGCAAGGATTCCCTCGATGGCTCATTGGGTGGCTTATACTTTCCTCAAGGACCAACTTCCTCTTGATTGGGTTTCTGTCCCCCCACAACAATTTTGGTTGGTAGTTGTTAGCTTTTGTTTTGACTTTGGTTGTAATTTCTCTGTTAAAAAAACAAAAAAGAAAAAAGAGGAAACTCGTGTTGTTCAAAACCTAAGGAATTTCGAGATTCCCATGTCGATTTGTTTCAGTTTCCACCAAGGCTGAATTGAAAAGGATATTAGTTCCATGCATTAATAATATCCAACATTAAAATGTCCTATAATATATCATTTATAATTGAGCCATAGAATACATTGACAAAAATAGAAGTAATTGATATGCTTACTATTTGCATGCACAATGCTCCAGAACAAAATCATTCCAGCCACCAACATTTTTTGCAAAATCATTTACAAGCATGTCAACCATATATCATTCTCTATTGGCATTTGGCACAATCTTTTCAATCATATTGCAAACATAGCCTTTCTATAGCACTCAGGAATCAAGAAATCATGAGACGTGGGCAGAATATTGTCAGAATATTGTCCCAATACTTGGTTCAAAAAAATCCAAGCATCATTAAGTACAAATTAGTCACCAATTATTCAATTTCTGATTTTCAAAATAAAACCAGAGAAAAACAAATAACAGTAAATTTTGACAAATTAAAGCAAATAAATGATGTACCACAAAACAAGTTTGGAAATATAAGACCATCAGCTTTATTAAACCAACTGAAATTAAAAGGAAAAAAAAAAAAAAAAAAAAAACTAAAAAGTCAAATTAAATACATTTGAAAAATTTGAGATTGATTGAGAACTATAGACGGGATATAAATCGAGAAGGTGGTGTCATCAAAATATTCAAGCTTGAATATCTTAGGAACTTGAGATGCAAGTAAAAATGAGAAGATCATCTCATAAATAATGAGAGTTACGAAGTCCAACTTTCTGGGACATTCTAAGAAAACTATAACAAAAACTAAAATCAAGTAAACAAGACCAAAAACCCCAAAAGGTACTGAATAGATACATAAGGAACAATAAAACTTGAAAGTGTAAAAATTTGCCAAATCTAACAAAGAAAATGAAGAAAGAAAATTTAAGAATGAAAGGAAAGAAAAATAAAAACAAAAGGCATAAACAAAGGAAACATATAGAAGATACATTGACTCTGGAAAAATTGAAAATCACCTTCCCATGTACAAACACATTGTCAAGGCCGTAGGTCCAATATTACGCCAGAAATGTAAATGTATAAAAATAACAAAGAAAAAATCTTTACCGTCGCTGCCTGTCACTTCAGCGAAGGCCGTCGTTCACCCTCGTTCTTGTCTCGTCACTCGTCGTTCACAGTCGTTCGTCACTCGTCGTTCACAGTCGTTGCCTGTCACTCCGGCGAAGGCCGTCGTTCACCCTCGTCAATCTGCGAATGCCGTCGTTCACCCTTCTTCACCACGGCACTGAACGATTTTCATCTCAGGATTTTGGGGATTCTGGGATTCGGATTTTGGGGGTTTTGGTTTGGAGAGTTTAGGGATTTTGATTTGGGGGTTTTGGTTGGGTGAGTTTAGGGATTGGGATTTTGGGGATTTTAGGATGACTGCGAATGGGAGAAATCCCCGCGAATGTGTGATTTTTTTTTTGCGACGGAATATATACTACTATCGCAAATGATACTTGATTAACAAAGTAAAACCACGTCGTTTTACAAAAAAAAATTTTGCGATGGGATTATACCGTCATAAATGGTCCACCATTTGCGACCGCAACTCTTTACCGTCGCTAAAAAATACTTTTTACGACGGTATACGTGCGTCGCAAATGCTCCTGCATTTTTCGGTGAAATGTATTAGCGACGGAGGCAAACCCTGTCGCAAAACCACTTTTTGGCGACGGCAACTACACTGCGTCGCAAAAACTCTTTTTTTGCGACGGCAGGTTCCCCGTCGCAAAAGCCTCCGTGTTATATAACAGATTTTCTTGTAGTGAGAGCAAGAGAGAGTAAACAGACTTAACACATTACATTCACAACTGCAGCAAATCAACAAGGTTGTTTCATCAAAAGTTACCAACAAGACCTTTAACAAACAGACCCAGAAAACCCACAAAAGAAAACTAGATAAAAACATAAAAAAGAAAAAAGAAAAAAAACATATTAGGTACTCAGAAAAAATATATTAAAAAATTATTTAGTCAAATTTTAAATATTTTTTAAAATAATTTTTTTAGATATGTAACATTTCAGAAAATGAAAAAACACACAAGCAAGACAACAGAAAACCCTAACAGACTCTTTAATTTATTTAGCTCAAACTTCAAACCACCATGGATAAATTCTCCGATGAGATCAGACAACGGATCTGCCACTGTCATCACTCGACGAGGATTCTTCAGATTCCAAGTACTTGTTTTTGTTGTTTTTCATCCAAACCTTGAAACTCCGACGAGTGACTTCGATCGCCTCACAGAATTCTCCAAGATCATCCTCATTGTGTCCCTCAAGGCTCCACCCCAACTCCACTGCCGCGTACTTTACCATCTCCACAATTTGCACATCCAAAAACCTCGCCCTTCCCCTCTTCTTTTCCGGCGGCTCTTGTTCCACCTTCCCGTCACCGAGGTTTTCCTCATTTGAAGTCGCTGGTTGTGGTGGTGGTGGTGGAGCTTGGTGACGACAAGGTAGAAGCAATGTGCATTGAGTGGAGGACTCCGACAACCATGGGGTCAAGTTGGACCAGCACTTCCTCAACAAGATGCAAGCTCCGATGGCAACCGCAGGCAGCACGGTAGAAAGTCACCGGACGATGAGATTCTCCACGGCGGCATTGAGAAAGTGATTGCAGCCGTCAGTAGCGTTGTTCCTTTGGCATTCACGGTAGCGAACAATAGTAGCACAATGGATACCACGGTGGCCATTGTTGCTTGCCATAGAGAGAGAGAGAGAGAGAGAGAGAGAGAGAGAGGGGGGCGGGAGAGGAAAAGTGAAAGTAAATGTTATAATGTCGTAGGTTGAATTTATAGAAGGAACATGTTTGAAATCCTCAAAAACTATTCACAATGATGATGTGGTAGGATATGTATCAATTTTTGATTTATTATACATTTAACAATAGTGACTCAACTTTCATGTCACATCATTATGGATGAATTTATAAGTATAAATGTGTGGGTCTTAAATTTTTTTTGGTTACATCGGAAAGAAAGAAGGAAGCAGAGGGAAGGCTAGGCCCTTTCCCTTGAAATTCCTAACAGGTCTGCCAACAGATAGCTCCGCAACTCAGCTGGTGGTTCATTCACCACCAGCATTTCCTCTGATTGATCTGCACCTAGCTTGGCTAAGGCGTCCGCACACAGGTTCCCTTGTTTCCAGATATGCTGGATGGTGCACTCGCAGCCATTGAAGAGTATCTTGGCATCTTCCACCAAATTTTGAAAGGGCAGTTGCTGGCAATTGGATCCTTCATCAGCTGCACCACCTGGGCTGCATCCGTTTCGATTAGCACGTTATTGATGCCTTTTTGAAGAAGAACAGTTAGTCCTTTATATAATGCCCAAAGCTCAGCTTCGAGATTGGTTCCCATCTGCATTTTCCCATAGAAGCCACACACCCAAGCTCCTCGCTCATCTCTAAGCAGTCCACCAAATCCTCCTTCTCCTCCAACTCGCCTACAGCCATCAATATTCATCTTGATTTGCCCTGCAATTGGTAATACCCACTGAATCAGTCTATAGGCTTTCCTAGGCAGAATGATTAAATTAAGAAAAGCTTGGTTGATCTCGCTAGAGTACTCAAAAATGAATTTGAGGCTCTCTTGGGTATTAGTATTTTTGTTCTCAAACACAACATGGTTTCTATTTTTCCAGATTTTCCAAAGGGCCACTGTGAAGATAGTATACCAAGAGATGTCTCCAGAAAAATGTTTAGTGTTTCTAGAATTACACTTGAGCCAATCAACCCAAGGTTTTCTTGTGAGACTATGTGTGGGTCTTAAATATTATTTTTTTATAGAATAAGAAAGAGACGGCAGAGGGGAAAGGAGGAGTTGTGGAAGTGAGTGACTATTTTAATTTTGTAGGTTGAATTTATGGAATGTGAAAGCGGATGTTTGGGTCAATTTATTTTAACAATGCTATAATGATTGCAATTCTATTTTATATTTGTCTACTATTAAATTAAAAAATTAAGAATAAATATATCTGTTCATTATCTATGCCATTTGTGCACTCTATGTGCAGTATCTGTGCTATATGTATTATCTATGCACTTTTAACTTTTTGTTTTATAATTAAAAATTGAGATATACATATATCTTTTTATTTTACAAATTAAAAAATGAAAACTAATATATATATATATATCAATGTTAAAATTTTAATCAATCTTTATTTTTATTTTATTTTTGCCATTTTGTTTAGCAAGTGAAGATGATAAGACTGATAAGACTTTTTAATTGATGATTTACAAGTATAATTGAACAAAATGCATAGTTCAAATCATTTAAATACGACCCTTTGTGAGATCTACAAAACTCAATAGCACGTTCAATCCAGACAAGAGATAACCCAAATCCCATTAATAAATGCAATGAGACCCACTTATATGTATCTTCAAGTGAAAAAATAAAGGAAAAAAAATTATATAACATTTTTTACATTTTAATATACAAATATAGGCATTATAACATTATTAAAAATTTTGACCAACCATATCTCTTTATCATTCTATAAATTCAATTTATGAAATTGATGAGGACAATTTCACAACTTCTCTGTCTTTTCCCCTCTCACTCTCTTGGTAAACAAGGTGTGGATGGGGTAAAATAAATATTAAGGGATAATTTACAAGTATTTGTTCTTATAATCTAGTAAGATTACAACAATTCTTTACCCACAAGGATATTAAATTGTACCAATTTCAAAGGTGCCATTTGTTTAGAGTCATATTTATCATTAAGTATTCATTTGAAAAAAACAATCCTAAAATTCTATGTTGAACTACAAAATTTATTTCTTGGAGATTATTAGGATTACATCCTGCTTGATTATGATTAATTACACACAAATCAAGCTCAAGTGTATTAAGAATCATAACATATTATAATTAGATTAGTGCAAAACTGTGAAATCCCGTATTTTTATATAATAAAAATAATATATATACTTTTAATTTTCTTAAATAATTATTCACAATATTTTGAATTTAATATTCTATATATTTTTATACTAAAAATTTATTCAAAATAAAATAAAATAAAATATTTTTGACTTTATATTATTACTCAATAATAATTTCTAAGCCGTATGATATTTTTATTATATTTTTCTCTATATTTTTTTGTAATCAAATTACACTGAAACTTAATATTTTCTGTACTAAAATCCAATCAGAAAACCATAGGCTTGCTCCCCATGTTTTCTCACCTCCCACCTTCCACGTGCAATCATTTTCTTTAAAGAAAATGTGGTGGACATGCTAGCTATACACCTCCCTTCTTTTTAATTTGTTTTCATCATAAATTGAGCCTAACTCTTCCTCACATTTCCTCATCTTTGGCTACACTTCCAGTTTCATCCTTCTCTCCCTCTCTGTTTCATCTTTCTCTATCTCTCTCAGTTCTCTCTCTTTATCAGTGTAGGCGATATAAGGTTGGTGGTACGGGTGACACAACATATATCTATGTTTTTCCTCCTTCCCCTGACCTCCATAGCCATGGCCTCAACCCATACTATCACCATCCGAACCACCAACCCGCGAATTTCACCACCATTGGTGCACCGTCGGACCGCCACCACCACCATCACCTATTTCCATTATCATCTAGAACCACAATTCACAAAGTGTTGTAGGTGAAGAAAGAGAAGAAGAAGGAAGATGAAAGAGAAAGAAACAAAGTTAGAGAAGTTTATTTTGAAGTTCAAAAGTTGGTTTTCGGCTTACGTTCGGCATGCCAAAACCATCCATTTCGGGAAGAAGTGAGAAAAATAGGCCATGTAAGATGAAGTACGAAGTAAGTTGAAGAGATTGGCGAAAGAATGAAGTAACACCGTTAAGAATTAAGAAAGTTATGGGGTCCGAAAGATGGTTCGAAAAAAATGTTCGAGACGGTAGGAAAATAATCTTATTTTTCGTCAAATTTTGGAGATCCGATGGTATGCAAAAAGAGATGGAACGAGGCGTGTGAGTAGTGGACCAAAAACTAGGCCGTGAGGTGAATCCAATGACAGAAAAATAAGATAAAGCGGAGTTACGATGACGAAGATACAAGCATTTGAACTGGTGACATTGAAACTAAAAATCTGGGTCTTCTGTTCGTGCATGCTACGGCTGTTGGGGAAGATGAATTGAATTTTATCCAGCGTTTCTCGGCCCATGGTGCTACGGTGCATCCTTGTACCTTTAGGTTAATTGAGTGGTCTTGTGACTTTGGGGATGACCACCCTTAGATTTTTCGACGTGTAGAATCTATTTTTGGGGTTAGATCTTTCAAATTCTAAGTCTAAGATGATGATCAACAACTAAAAATTCTAAGAGAATCTAATGGAAGATCAACTGTGAGATCGCGTCCGATTAATGTGAAATTTCAGCAAGACAATCATGGAGCCAGGACGGTCATATCTTACGATCAGAATCATAAATCAAATTCGGTCGATAAATCGTTAGCAATCTAACATAGTAAGAAAACCCTCTCAATCCTCTTATTTTTTTTTATATTTGAGATTTTCAGATTATATACATATGATAAAATGTCTAAACTTGTAGATTGAATTTTATTTATAATTGTATGAAAATTTATGATGGTATATCAAATTTGGACTTGCATGTGTAATTTATGCCATGAAAAAGATTATTGAATATGTTATTTGGCCCTTTAAATCTGTCAGAAATTTGTACGAATTTTTAGAAAATTTTATACTCAAAATTTGAAGATTATTTATTCTACAAAGTTGTTTATAATTATGTCTAGTTCATCCAAAAAAATTTTCAACAATTATTGAGTTTTTTACGAATTTATACAAATTTTTAACCAAATCTGGCGCTACAGGCAGATTTCACTATGTGTTTGAAAAATTATTTAAAAATTTATATTAAACCAAATCTGGTAATTTCTTAGCAAAATATAAAATTTGAGAAGTCTAGTTCATAATAAAATTTTATATTATGGAATTGATTTATAAATTTAAGTATGAAATTAATTTAAGAAGATGTGATAAATCTGTGTCATGAACATTCCTGGAATTTTTAAGAATTATTTATAATTTATTTTTGGAAAATGCTTTCTGAAAAATGACCATAACATGTTTATTGAGTATTCTGTAGATTGATATGAATTTTAGAGTTGTATAATTAATTTATTTATAATTTTATTTGCAAGATATACATTCTGAAAATTTTGGCAGATTAAGGAGGAATAAAAAAATTATCTCTTCAATTGTTTCTTTGGACTAAAATTTAATATTGTGCTAATCTAATCTTGTAGATTAAAAATCCATACATGTGTGTGATTATGATTTATTTCTTTTTGGTATCTACATTATTATTTCATATCATAGTTTAAATAAATTGTTTATTTAAATTGTGTACAATCATTTATTATTGTGTGACATGTGTAATATTTTATGTTCGGATTTTAATGAGTTGGTATAACATTATTGGTAATTAAATTTTGAATTATTGTGAATATCTCAACGAGTAAAGAGACACGAAATTTAACCAATGATGTATTAAAATGTAAAGGTGACAGGGTGAGCCCGGTCTAGAATCTTGCGCAAGTGAGTTGCGAACCCTAACATGGCACGGGAAGGTATTTCGGCTCTTATCAGTGTAGGCGATATAAGGTTGGTGGTACGGGTGACACAACATAGACCGTTCCCTTGGGGCAGACCGTGATGTCACAACTCGGGTATGTAACCCTGGTGCGTGGGCATCATTGGTAATTACTGTAGGTAACATTTGAATATTTGACCAAGGGAGAGTCAGAATTGCCCGTGGCCATTGCTTAGCGGTTGAGTGGAAATAGTGCTCCGCGGGGAGTTACTTAAACTTATCTGATAAACTAAATCTATGATAATTTAAAAAGAAAAAAGTGGGCATTTTCCTCATGATGAAATTTTGCCTCTGTTTGTCATTTTTATTTTTTTATTATCTATTGTTATTATTTCAGCTGATGGCATTCCTATCATGCTTATTAAATGCTACCTGTTATTCTGTTACTACGCATTATTCATTGTGGGTATTATTATCGGGGTGGATATTTCAGGTTGTAGTATCTTATTGAGCTCGTCGCTCATTGGCATCCTCATTGCCCTGGCGTTTCATGCCAGGTACCGAAGAAACCAAAGGAAACACCGAGGTGATGGAAGGCAACATTCAGCCCTGATTAGCTTGAAGCATGCCAAAGTTCCATGAACTATTTTTCTGAGTTTTCTAGTTTTTCTCTAGTTTTTTTATTTTTATTTTTGTACTAAGACAAAATTTTAAGTTTGACTGGAGTTGTAATTTAAGAACTTTTAGTTTTGGTGTTGTTAATTAATGGATGATGGTAAATTTGGTGGCAACATTGATGAGGATTCTTAATTAAGAAAATTGATTTTAAGTTTTAAACCGTATTATGATGTCCCCAAATTTTGGGGCGTCACAAAAACTTAAAAAGAAATTCAATTTGAAATTTTATTGTATTTTTATAGTAGTAATAGACCTGTTCAAAACATGTGCAATACACGTGTAATGCACGAGATAAAATAAATATTTAATGAGTCCCACCCATGTATATGCTTAGAATATTTTTTAATTTTAAATTTAAACCATCTTTTCACTTTTTAAATAAAATTATAATTAAATTTTATGAGTAATTATTGTTTTTCCAAAAACAACCACATTGGTAGTTGGTGTTACAATTGAGGTCTAGGGCTATTGATTTGTCTTGTTGGCCATGCCATTAACTTTTACATTCCTAATTTTATTTTATTTATAACCACAAATTTTTTGGGGGGAAGAGTGAATAATCTCAAAATTTAATTTAAATTTTTATTAAATCTGAATTTGTTGAATTCATTTCAAATTAAAGTTGACGTCAATCACTAATTAAAATAGTCAATTCCCAAACAAATCTTAATTGTTTGGAAAGCCTTGATTTCGTGGTTACCCATCAAAGCTAGAGAGAAAGAGAGAGATTGAACAAATTTAGAATATAACAAGTTAAAACTAGAAGCACCCAGTTACTGTTGGAAGGTAAGCTTGATAGCCACTAAAACAAATATGTGTCAGAGATTGCTTCAACATTTGTAGGCTTAGCATTCAATGTGTTCACACTGCTAGCTGTAGTTGCATTTAATGCATTCACATTGCTAGCCGTAGTTGCATTTAATATGTTCACATTGTTAGTTTTTTTCTATATATAGCTATGTGTTTTGAGAATTCAGAGTGTGAGAGAAGAAAATAAAGAGTGCTCTGTGTGTTTGTTTTTTAGAATTATTTTGAGTGAATTAATTTCAGTTTGGTTCAGTGTTAATCCTCTCATTATGAATCACCAACAATGGTTTGCACCCCACTCCCATCAACAGTGGTATCAGAGCCGGATTTGTGCATTTTCTGAAAAACATAGTGTGTTTTTCAAAAATTGCCCAGAAATCAAAATGGTCAAAATCCATTTTTGATCACATCAGCTTAAAGCTCCCGATGAGTCGAGCACAACTGTGAAAACCGCGTCGAAAATGGATCTCGGACGACTCCGCAGGCGTTACTGACGCCATTCTCACGCGCTTTTACGCGCTCACACACCGTACGCACTGCCAGAGGAAAAAGACGCATGATCCCATGTGCAAGCACGCGCCATGCGCGTAAACCAGACGACTTGATGTCATTGCTGACGTCATCGCACCGCTGACCAGCTTTGACCAAGCCGAGTCGCCGTTGACCGGAGCCGTTGACCGAGCTGAGCTTGAGTCGCGCCGCTAACCAAGCCGTGTTAACTGTGCCGTTGACCGAGCTATTGACATCAGCACACTGAGGATTAATCTAGTGCGATGCGGCTAAGGTGCAGCCGTAGATCTAAAGCGTCAAAACTATTTTCGCTTCATCTGAGCCATTCGGAGTCCGTTTCTGATGATCCAATATTGCTTTCCAACTATTTAGAATATTCCGGACACATCTGTACGGTCAGAATTTGTAAATTCCATCCTAAAAATTTGTAGATTTTTAAAGACAATCAATGGCCAACACAAACAACTTCTTTTAGCCCCAGTTTCCAAAACTCAGCAAGGAGAGCTATGAAAATTGAAGTATTCAAATACAAGTCCTACTAGCCTCACAAGATTTGTGGGAGTTAGTGAATCAAGGATATGACGAGCCAGCTACTCTCGAAGATGAAGGAAATTTAAATGAAGCTCAGAAGACGGCATTAAAAGATTCAAGGAAGAGAGATAGAAAGACCTTGTATCTACTCTATCAAGGCATTGATGAGTCAAGTTTTGAGAAGATTTCAGTAGTAGAAACCTCTAAAGAGGCATGGAGTATTCTTCGCAATTCACACTGTGGAATTGAGAAGACGATCAGAGTTCAACTTCAGGTGTTACGTGCCGAATTCGAGATACTGCACATGAATGAGAATGAGTCAATTTCTGAGTACTTTAATAGAACATTGACCATTGTTAATCAGATGAGAAGATATGGAGAGAAGATGGAATCTCTTCAAGTGATAGAGAAGATTCTACGATCACGCAGTTCCAAGTTCGAGCACGTGGTTGTAGCAATAGAAGAGTCCAAAGATCTTAGTGCCATGACCACCGATGAGTTGATGGGCACACTTGAGATTCATGAACAAAGGATCAACAAGAAGACTCCCTCAAGTTCTCTAGAGCAAGCACTTTAATCAAAACTGTCTTTTAGAGATGACAGAAACGAGCAAGGGGGGGACATCACAGAGAAGTCGAGGAAGAGGTCGTGGTTACAATAATCGAAGTTTTGGTTTTCGAGGAAGATACAGAAGAGGTCCAGCCAGAGGAGGAAGAAGTCAACCACACTTTGCTCCAAGAGGAAGAGCAAGAGGTAAAGGAGGTAGCTACAACAACCGAACAAGAGTTGACAAAAGCAATGTTCAGTGCTACCAGTGCCACAAGTTTGGGCATTACAACAATGAATGCCGAAGTAGAGCAACAACAGAAGCCAGAGAGCAAACAAATTTTGCTGAGCAGGAAACAAACAAAGTTGGACCTACAGTCCTGTTTGTTTACCATGCAGACACTGAAAACCAAAACAATGTTTGGTATCTTGATTCGGGAGCCAGTAATCACATGTGTGGTAAAAGAGAGCTGTTCGTTGAGCTTGACGAGACTGTACAAGCACCAGTCTCATTTGGTGATTCTTCAAAGACTCCAGTGAAAGGTAGAGGCAATATTCTGATCAAGCTCAAGAATGGAGATCATGATTACATCTCCAATGTTTATTATGTTCCTGCCATGAAGAACAACATTTTGAGTATGAGACAACTCCTAGAGAAAGGATACAACATCAGCTAAAAGATTATCATCTTACCATCAAAGACAATCATGGTAATTTGATCGCTCAGGTGAGAATGTCCAAGAATCGGATGTTTGCATTGAACATTCAATATGATGCTGAGAAATGTTTAAGTGCCATCATCAAAGACAAAGACTGGCTATGGCATTTGAGGTTTGGACTTCTCAACTTTGGAAGATTGAAGCTGTTGTCAAGAAAGAATATGGTGAAAGGGCTCCCTCATATTACTCATCGTAATGAAGTCTGTGAAAGTTGCATTCTTGGCTAGCATCACAGAACTAGCTTTGCCAAAGAAGTGAAGTGGAGAGCAACAAAGCCGCTGGAGCTAGTGCACACTGATGTGTGTGGTCCATTGAAGCCATTGTCAAATGGACAGAATAGATATTTTCTTACCTTTATTGATGATTATAGCCGGAAGACATGTGTGTATTTTCTTAAAAGAAAGTCGGAGGTGTTCAGTATTTTTAAAGAATTCAAAGCTTTTGTAGAGAAGCAAAGTGGCTACTACATCAAGACATTGCGATCAGATCAAGGTGGAAAGTGTACATTAGATGCTTTCGAGAATTATTGCAAAGAGCATGGAATCAAGGATCAAATAACACTATCCTATACGCCACAGTTGAATGGTGTTGCTAAAAGAAAGAATCGCACAATCTTAGATATGGCAAGGAGCATGTTGAAAGGAAAGGCACTGCCCAAGCAATTTTGGACTGAAGCCGTATCATGTGCTGTGTATCTGTTGAACAAATGTCCAACCAAGAGCCTTCACTCTATGACTCCAGAAGAAGCTTGGAGTTCATATAAGCCAAGTGTCAACCATCTCAGAATATTTGGGTATGTTGCGTACACCAAGATTCCAGAAGCAAGAAGAACCAAACTCGATGATAAGGGATAAAAATGCATCTTTGTCGGATATGGAGACAGAACAATGGGACGATACAAGTTGTATAATCCCATTACCAGAAAGGTGATCATGAGTAGAGATGTGATATTTGAAAAAGAAGAAGTTTGGAACTGGAATCAAGATGAAATTGTTAAAGATGCAGAACTCATTCTTGAAGATGAAACATCAAAAGCTCTGGTTGAAATTACAAGAGAAGTTTAAGATGAGCCACAAACTCCTCCACATAAAATATCGGCACCTAGATCACCAGTTTCTCACAGAAGTGCTGCATCATCATCATCATTAACATCATCAGATGATAGTTTTTTCAAACAACCATGACCAATGAGAAATTTGCAGGAGATATATGAAGTTACAGAAGAAGCAGATTTGAATTTGTTCTACCTACTCGCAGATAATGATCCACTTACTTTCTCAGAAGCCATCCAAGAAGATAAATGGAAGAAAGCAATGGATGAAGAAATTCATGCCATTGAGAAAAATAACACATGGAAGCTTACCAGTCTACCGGAGGGGCACAAACCCATTAGAGTGAAACGGGTATACAAGACAAAGAGGAATGCACAAGGCGAAGTGCAACGTTATAAGCCAAGGTTAGTAGCAAAAGGTTACAAGCAGAGAGTTTGAGACTATCAGGCTAATGATTTCTTTGGTTGCCCAGCACAAGTGGTAGATTTATCAACTTAATGTGAAATCTGCATTTCTTAATGGTTTCCTTGAAGAAATCTATATTGAAAAACCTTTGGGGTACGTTCAGAATGGGCATGAAGGCAAAGTGTACAAATTGAAGAAAGCACTTTATGGATTGAAGCAAGCTCCACGTGCATGGAATACTAGAATTGATCAGTATTTTCATGACAATGGTTTTGAAAAATGTCCATATGAGCACGCACTATATTTGAAGAAGGAAGTTAATGGAAGCATGTTGCTTACTTGTCTTTATGTTGATGATCTAATTTTCACCAGAAACAATCTGGCCATGTTTAAAGACTTTAAAAGAAGCATGGTCCAAGAATTTGAAATGACAAATATTGGATTGATGGCTCATTTTCTCGGCATCGAAGTGGCACAAGGAAAAGATGGAATTTTTATTTCCCAAAGTGGCTATGCCAAGGAAATTCTCAAGAGATATGGAATGGAAAATTGCAATCCAGTGAACCCTCCTGTAGACAGTGGAGTGGAGCTTAAAAAAGGTACAAAGGCAGGTGATGTGGATCCAACTTATTTCAAGAGCCTAGTTGGAAGTCTTCGCTATCTTACTTGCACCAGGCTAGACATACTCTATGGAGTAGGACTGATTAGCAGATATATGGAAACACCGGATCAGTCACACCTTTATGCAGCAAAGAAGATTCTTCGCTGCATCAAAGGTACAGTCGATGATGGTTTATTCTACAAACCAACTAATAATTTCAGTTTTGTTGGCTACTCAGATAGCGACTGGAGACGTGACTAGGATGAACGGAAAAGTACTACGAGATTTACTTTCTTTATGGGAGATACAACCTTCACATTGTCGTCCAAGAAGCAAGCCATTGTGACATTATTGACTTGCGAAGCTGAGTATGTTGCAGCCAACTCAGTTGTGTGCCATGCAATATGGTTACGGAACATGCTGAAGCATTTGAGATTTCCACAAGAAAAAACCACTGATATCTATGTTGATAATCGCTCAGTAATTGCATTGCCAAAAAACCCAGTTTATCATGAAAGAAGTAAGCATATTGACACCCGCTATCATTTCATCCGAGAGCATGTGAAAAATAAAGAAATGGAATTATTTCCTTGCAAATCTCAAAATCAGCTTGCAGATATTTTCACGAAGCCATTGAAAAATGATCTGTTCAACAGAATGAAATGCTCGGGATGAAGCAGCATGGAGAATCAAGCTTAAGGGGGGATATTGGAAAGTAGGCTTGATAGCCACCAAAACAAATCTATGCTCAGAGATTGCTTCAACGTTTGTAGGCTTAGCATTCAATGCTTTCACACTACTAGCCGTAGTTGCATTTAATGCGTTCACATTGCTAGCCGTAGTTACATTGTTAGTTTTATCTATATATAGCTATGCGTTTTGAGAATTCAGAGTGTGGAAGAAAGAAAATAAAGAGTGCTCTGTTTGTTTGTTTGTTTTTCAGAATTATTTTGAGTGAATTAATTTCAGTTTGGTTCAGTGTTAATCCTCTTATTGTGGATCACCAACAGTGTTTTGCACCCCACTCCCACCAACAGTTACAACTACTATGAAAATTCATTACGATTGAAAAGAAGAAAAAACCCTAATTAGATCTTGTTTTTCAATCAAAAGAAATGTTCCCAAATTTATTTTTTTTATTTATTTAATTTTTTTTTATGAACTGTGATCGGCACGACCCATAGGACCATCTGTTGAACAGACCCATACGATATTGATGGGCCTCAAGAGGACCCAGATAACAAAACCCAGTATCCTCGAGAAACCAATATTGAATCAGGATCAATAGCATTTGAACACTTTTCTTCATGACAAGTGTTTGAATGCTATTGGTCCTGGTTCAATATTGGTGATGGCACGGCCTAACAAGCTGCATGTTTCGATTACCTTTCGCTTCTTGAGTGGCTTCGATTTATCATCCATCTTTTGCTTCTTGAGTGGCTTGGATTCATCATCCATCTCCATCCAATCGTTTTTTGGTGGATTTGGTTGTGGTTGTATTGGTACTCGCTCTGGTGGCTGTCGGTGTGATCAGCGTGGTGGTTGCTGATGAGGGAGCCGTGAAAGCGGAGTTGCGGAGGCAAAGTGGTTGAGTTCCTCCTGTTTATGGTGGAAACTCCGATGATAACCACAGGTGGCGCAGATGTAAGATTCCTGATTTTGGACTGTCGGATCAGTAATCTTCACATACAAAAGGCATCCATCAACGACGAGGCTGGCAGTGTGGGCGGCGTAGTTTCGCTTGCACTCCATGTACGTAATCGTAACCCTAGGGCTGCCACTGCCGTCATCATTGTTGTCTGCCATGAGAGAGAGAGAGAGAGGGAGAAGATGGTTGTTTCTACTCACTCTCTTGCTAGACTGGTTCTCCTTCCCTTTCTATGAGTTTTGTGAAACTGCCAAATTAGGTGGTGTTGAAACCCAAACTTGTTTACATGCAATGGAAAATGAAGATAAGTTTGTCATTATAAATGCTCTAACTGAATTTCCTAATCATTTAATTTGGAGTCAAATTATACATAAAAGATTTTTATTTTTATTTTTATTTTTATTTATGCCTTATTGTTTAGATATGAATTATGATATTTCGACAAATATGTCGTTCTATACTAATTAATTACTATGTACTGATATTTTGTAAGGTATTGTTATGTACTTGTTGAGTATATGAGACATGTACTTAAATATTTTTTGAAATTTTTTTGTTAGATCTCAAATGTACCTAATATATATCCAAACGAACCTTAGGTGAAAA